TGGTGGTGGTGGTGGTGATGCTGGTTGCAGTGGCGCCAGCGCCTGCAGGCGGCAGCGGGGCCCGGTAGCGGCGGGCCAGGGTCAGATATGATGTCATGTCATTTCGACGGCTGCTGGTCGGCTCAGCGCAGGGCAAAAGCAAGGGCTGCTGGGCAACATCAATGCGTCCGCTGGCCCTCTTGCCACAGCAGCCCCCCAAGGTTCTGCTCCGGATGGTACGGCGTGTCCAACCACACCTGTATGTGCACTGTCATCACGGCGCTGTGGCACCGCGTGTTGACCGCGAGCTGCTCCACCAGCTCCCCCGCAGTGAGCAAATCCCATGCGGCCCGCCGCCTGCATAGCCCCTGCCCCCGCTGCCGCCTGACTGGGGAAGCGCAGGCACGTGCGCCGCCGCGGCAACCTCGTCCCACGCACGGAGGGCTTGCGACAGCGCCCTGCGCTCCTCCTCTATCGCTTCGACCCGCTGCTTGCGCAGCTCGTGGCTGTGCAGGAGCAACAGCACCTACTCCAGCGCGAGCATGCAGCAGGCGCTTGGCAACCGCCGGCATGGACGGCTGCGGTGCCTGGTGCCCCGGGGTTTCACATGGCAGCATGCATGCAACGCCATGCAGGATTCCGTGCGGCCATGGGGAAACCCGCAGGCAGCAACACGCCGTCACATGCCTCACCTGCTGTCTGGACCAGCGGGGAGCCCGGACGACCTCTTCCCAGAGAGCTAGGCCGCCTTCTTCCTGCCCTATACACGGCCGGCCACTTTGGTAGTTCTGCGCGTGAGCACGCGCCGAACGGCGCGTGAGAGCTTGGCGGAGCGTGGCGCAGAGGAGCGAGTCGGCATGGGTTGGCATGGCCTGGTGTGTTACGGCAAATCGTAGCCCAGCATGGGGTGGCATGGCACTTTGCGGCTGGAATGGCGGCTGAGAAAGCCTGGCGTTGAATTGCATGGTACAACTCGAGTGGCTGGTGCAGCCATGCGTGGTCGCATGAGCCACCGGACATCTAGGAAAGTTCGGGCACGTTGGGAATAAATGCTGGCGGGACCAGCAGCCCGCCCCTTACCTTGACAATCAGGTCAAAGTAAACCTCCGGCCGCCACAGGCCCAGCAATTGAAACTGCCGGACGAGCGCGCGGCCGCACTCGCACAGGCCTGCACGCGCGTCGCGACGCCTCCTCTCTGGCAGCCGGGCGCAACAGTCGAGCACTCTGAGGTGACGCTTGCCCTCCGAGATCAGGGCGTCAATGCGAGTTGCCGCCTTCTCAAACGTTACCGCCTTGGCTTCTAGAACCTCCGCCTCTGTCACGCTGCAAGGGGGGTGGCCAGTCGGGGGTTTGGCGCTTCAGCGACGACCGCCCTCGCGCTGCAATCCTGTTTATACCTGCGCGCCAAAGCTGTGCAGCGATCTTGCGTGCGAGGCGTGCGCAATGCCATGACCGCACCTGTCGAGCTGGAGGAGGGGCGCACCGTCCCGCAGGTGAGGGACGCTCTCGATCACGGGCGCCGCCTCCGCCCCCACCTCCTGCGGCGCCGCCCCTGCCGCAGCAAACAGTGCCTCGTGCTGCTGTTGCTGCTGCTGCTCGTTGTCGCCAGTCTCCCCTCCAAACCGGCGCCGGTGCGCGGCGGACTCAGTCAGCGCACGGTCTAGACGTGTGGGCAGCGCGGCGCGCGAGCGAAGCTCGTAGTTGCGTTCCCGCTGCTGCTGCACCTGCTGCTGCGCCGCCGCAATTTTATCATTGAGCTGATCAATCTGTTGCTTGGCGGATGGCCCGCGGTTGCGACATGCGCGAGCCAGCTTGCTTGGAGTAGCGATTCGAGGCGCATTATTGCCATCACCAGCGCAGTGCGACGCCGTCGCTGCTGGCGACGATGCTGTTTGCGCTACTTGCGCGGAGTCTGCGGGTAGGGACGCTTTCAAAAGTCTTAGAACGCTGAAAGCACTTCCGTTCACGGGTGGCATCGCTCCGTGTCAAAGTCTACCGTATCGACGGACACCGACACTCACACGCATTCCGAGCAAGTGGACGGGCACTCGTCTACACACTGTATCATCGACTCACACGGCTCGCGTGCTTCGATGCCATCAAGCCTGGTTAAATCATGTGTGCCTCATTGTCGCAGTGACGTTGCTCGTGGCAGGTCATCCAGCGTGAACATGGGGTGTGAGCGATGCAGCGAGAGCGCGGCACAGACCAGCACGACGGGCACCGCACGCTGCTCAATCAGGATCGCTTGTCACACATTTGATTCAACCCCACACCTTCCTTTTTATTGAAGGGGGGCTGCCATTGCAGTCAACCCGCGCACCTGATTTGTCATCCGCATGTCGAAGCTTTGTTCAGCACCGTGTCAGCAGTTCGGGGTCGCGTTGCTGCTGCGGGCAGCTGCATCATGACGAGCGATGTTGCCTTCTTTGAATGCGCGGCTGGGCTGCGCGCGGTGCGGCACTGGCGACATGTCAGCAGCCGCCCACTGCCGTTCACACATACTTTCCCTATGGTCAGACGCAGGGCAGTTGGCGGTCGTATTCTGCCTACCGTTGTACCCATCAGCTGGCTGCCCTCAATAATACGTATGCACACCAACTGGAGAACTCAGGCGTGTCATGCGCCGCACAGCGCTCCGCGGCGCATTGCTTGGATTGCATGCTCACGCGTTCGGCCTCACGCTGGTTGGGTCTGTCTTACTTACCCAGGGTCTGGGTTAATGATTTTCGGTGGGCTGGTCAGATGAAACCACAAACACCAAAGATGTCATACCGTTATGACCCTGTGACCGGCATAGGCAGCACCTGCACCAGGTTGTTTAAAAGTGCACAGCGCGCCCACAGCCCAAGGCAGACCGGAGACCGCGCGGCCGGCTCGCCGGTCTGGCTGGCGGCTCGTCACAGCTCCCAAACCCATGACCATGGGCAATCTAGCTGCCAAAATCAAGGCAAGTATACCTCCGTGGGGCCGCTCGGCCCAGTGGTCTGACATGTGAGCATCAAGGTGCCCCAAGAGGTGGCTTTGGCCCCAGCTGTCACCACGATTTCACCTGGGTGACAGCGGCCCCTTAAATCTGGAGGCCCTGCAGTATGGAAGGCAGTCCCCGCCCTCATCTGAAGGCATCTAGAACCCTAGAAAGCTCGTTATTCGTTTTGAACACGCAGCGTCTTTGTGCCCTCTGCAAGGTTGCGCGCGTGTTTCTTAGTGCGTGTCGTGCGGCGCTCCCCACGTTGCACGGTTTATATGGGAGAAATGGCGGGATTTTGGACCATCATCCTTATAGCGATGGCTGGTACGCTGCTGCATGGGTCCGTGGTTGCCGTCAGCGCCGGACGACGTGAGACCACGACTCAGCAGGTGCGCCCCTGCGTTCAGCGCAGCAGGCCGCCCTTGGCACGCACTCACATGACACGAGCCTTGTATACATACGCAGCTGGAAGCACGAGGACGGCAAACGTGCCTGGGGCGGATATCGGTCATGACGTGGCCTGGAACTGTCAGCCACACGACCACTTCCCGACCACCTTGTCTTGGCCTGGACAGCCACCGCGCCCCCTGCCATCTCATCGAATCGCACAGGCCTCCCTAAGACGCCGCGCCCTACTCAGCGCCGCGCAAGTGGACCCCGCTGCAGCCGGCGCAGCGGCCCCAGTCCAGGCGGCCCCCTCTGCGGCCGTTGAGGCCGCGCAGCCGTTCGCGGCGGCCGCCGTTGCAGCTGTCGGCCCCGCCGTGGGGGAGCCCGCCACCTACATTGCTCCCGGCGCCACCGCTGCTGGCGGTGCGGGCACCGCGGCGCTTGCTGCTGGCACAGCTGGCGTTGCGTCCTTCACCGCCGCTGGTGAGCTTGAGGGGCTGATTCTGAGCGCGCACGCCGCGCTGAGGGGTTCATCTTCAGTGTGAAACCCCATCATTTCCCATGGATTTCCAGGATAACCACTCTCGAGAAATATGCACGTAGACAGGTTGAAGTCGTGCGCTGGCTCATCGACCAACCAAACTCCCCACAACCGTGCCCCACTCGCCTCCACAGCCGGCCCGGCCACGGCCGCCGTAGGAGTGGTGGCCTTCACCCAGTGCTGGTGCGCACCCAGCGCGGCGGGCGGCGCGCCGCATCAGTGTTGCTGCTGCCTGGTGCAGCCCCAAACAGATTGTCGTCGCCGCCCAACAGCATCCCCCAGGCGCGGCTACGCCACGCGTCCAGGCCCCCTGTACTCCGCGTGCCAACGTGCGCTCCTGTCCAAATCAAAACCACCAACAGGTTCCTGGGAAGTCGGGTCGCGCTGCCGGCGGGCGACTACCCATCCCTGGCCGCCCAGGGCCTCAGCAAAAAGTTCATGTCCCTTAGCATCCCCACTGGCTGGACCGTCACCCTGTATGATGCGGAGAACTTCGCCGGCCGCAGCACCACCCTGACGCGCACTGACGTGTGCCTGTCGACCTGGGGCAGGAAGGCGACGTCCCTTAAGATTGGTGGGTGCAAGGGGGAAAGGGATGGCGAGGGCTTTTTTTGTGACGGGCGTGCTGTACACATGCTCCATGGTTCCTCCCAAGCCCTGGTCGGGTTTTTCGGGTTGTGGGGTTGCTGGCTGATCGTGCAACAAGCAGGCTTGCTATTGGGAAGGGACGCTGTTGCGGCGTGTTTGTAATGCTGGCAGGCCTTGCCTCACCCCACCCACCTGCCGCACCTCGCAGTTGATCCCAACAGCGCCGGCGGCGGCGGCGGTGGTGGCGGCGGCGGCGGTGGTGGTGGCGGCGGCGGCGGTGGCGGCGGTGGCGGCGGCGGCGGTGGTGGCGGCGGCGGCGGCGGCGGCAGTAGCGCCATCGAGTCAGACCTACTGCTCCAGGTCAACTCTGCGCGCGCGTCCTCGGGCCTGAGGGCCGTCACCATCGACCCCCGGCTGACCGCCGCCGCCCAGGCGCACAGCGACGACCAGGCACGCCGCAACCGCATGGGCCACGACGGCAGCGACGGGTCAACGTTTGACCAGCGGGTCAAGCGGCAGGGGTACACGCTAGGGTATGGCGGCGAGAACGTGGCGGCCGGGTACGACACGGCGCAGGCCGTGTTCCAGGGCTGGATGAACAGCGCAGGCCACAGGTGAGCATTGCGACTCAACAAGTCCATTGTGGCCAATGCTAGCTGGGCTCCACGTGCCCAGGACGGACGTGCCGCGGGCCCAAATCATGTGAAGCTGCTACGGCTGGCCGCATTGGTTCCAGGGTCAGCGTGCCGAGCGGCCCTAACCACTGCCATGCGGCCAAACCCTGACTAGCACTGTCTCGCGCCGATCTGCCTCCTTCTGACTACTCCTGCCGGGTGGTTTTTTACATCGCTTTGCAGGGCCAACATCCTGAGCCCAAATTATGTCAACATGGGGGCAGCTGCCACCAGGTCGGCCTCCGGTACTTTGTATTGGACACAGGTGAGCCAATCGGCAGTAACGCCTTGCTTGGGTCCTATTGCCAGGGAACAATGCCTGCCAGTGGCGGCACTTTCTGCTAGGGTGCAGTCTCCCAAAGGGGTGCGGCGTTTGCACAGCCGCGGTTTGAAGCTGCTGGGGCTGACCCTTTCTGGCCAGCAGCAAAGTGTGCTCAACATTGACGCCCCACCCTCTGCAAACCTCCAAACACCCCTTACAAACAGGTGTTTGCGTCCCCGCTGTGACGGCATCCCCCAACGTGTCAGACGCACGGCTGCGCCGCCTGCTCATCAGCGCCGATTTCCGGGCTGCATACCCCCCCATGCAAGCTGCTGGCTCGTCGTGCGTCCCGGCACCGCCCCGTCACGTATAATTCCTTATACATTATAGCTTTGCAGATGCGCATGCCTGATTTCATGCGCCTCATCTGCATATAAGCCAACCCATATGCACACATGCCTTTTGCTTGGGTATAGGAGCAAACAGACTCAGCAGCACAAGCGTGCAACCCGCATGAACACGGCCAATCAAGTGCGTGCTTGCCGCCGTTATGCGTATTTCATTTATTACCTTTGGCCTTTTGCATGACAAGGACTCATGCCTCAGGCATCGCAGCACAAGGCGTGCGCTGCGCCACACCCCCCACGCGACGCGCCGCATGCACGCCGCATGCTCTCACGCCAGCTGATTTTATTGGTCGTTGCCCTTCAGGCAATGCGCATGAGATCCGCCTCGACGCCCTCGACGCCATAGGCCCCTTTTATTCGTATTATCCCTCTGCCTGCACGCCCTGTTTTCAGGTGGCTTGCCCTTCAGTTATGCTTGCATGCCTGCCTGACGAATGCTGGTTCTGCACATCTCGCCTCCCCCGCCTGATGCGATGGGCGAAGGGCGACTCGTATGCGGCTCTTCAGAGCTTAATATTACTGATTCCTTATCTGCGCTCTTTACCGCGGGGCGCCACGGGAACCCTGACCCCGGCTCTTGACGTGGCCGTGGGTGGTTGACCGACTAACCTGCGCTTGCGGCATCAGGGCCCCCGGGCAGCCCAGGCGCAGTTGTTGTTTGGGTGTGCGACCCCGCATTTTGGAACGCGGATTGCGCATGCCTTTCGGCCTCACATATGCAGGCAGGGCGCTTGAGACAGTGGCGGGACACAACTTCTGCCGACATCCACGGGCTGCGGCAGCTTGCCAGACTCAGGGGATGTGCTGCCGCAGGCCCCAACACGTTTTCATTTCCCAAAGTTACAGCTGCCCATGTAATTCCTGACCCCTTGTGGCCTGCAACACATGGACGGCCGGCTGGCAAGTCGCCCTCGAGCCGTAGGCTCGGCACCTGCCCGCTGAAGAGTGGGAACCTGGTGAGAAGCTGCACATACTGTAGCAGCAGTCACACACATTATCAAGCGCTCTGAGGCAGACCAACGCAGCCAAACAGCCTCACATATTGATATGGTTGTGCTATTACCGAGCCCGAGAATGCTTCGGCAAGCTAGCCGTCCCATCAGCTGATGTCTCGGGCCGCGCGGCATGAATCCGGTGCCCACACCAAAGCTTTGGTGTAAAATACAAGTTTGAAGATAACAATGGCGCCACCCAGACACTGGGGGGCGGCCGCAACCGCGGCGTCGCCACCCCGCAGCAGCTCGGTCATTGCCTCGCTGGCTCCGCTCGCGCTGCTACTCCTGATCGCCGCCGCCGCCGCCGCGCACGGCGCCTCCGTCGCGCTGGGAGCAGCGGCCATCACGGTAGACACGTCCGTCGTGCTGCTGTTCATGTCTGACATCGACGGCGGGGAAGGCAGCCAGTGCGCCCAGATGGCGCGGCGTGCAATGGAGACCAACGGCAGCACAGTCAACTTTGTCGTCACCGGGTGAGAGCAGGGGGGTGACGGCGGCGCACGTCTTGCAAGCAGCTAGTGCGGTATGCAGGACGCGAGGCGGCGTTGGGAGCGATGCACAGCCAAGTGGTTGCAGGGAAGCTCGGCGGGGTTTGATTTGCAGACCAGCACATGGATAGGAGCAGCAAGGATGTCGCCTAGCGCCTGCCTGGTAGCGCTCGGTCTCAGAACCGCCATCATCTCCAGGGCCAGCAATTTGTGAAACGAAGGCCATTCTTTTACAGGCCAGTACTTGTTGTCGGGTGCGCCGCCTGCTGGCAGCTGGCAGCTCGCACTCAGGCAATTTCGAATGCTGTTTGGTCCAAACACGGCATTCAGATGCGAGCACCCATTCTCCAACGCGACCAGGTACTACCGGACAGATGGCAACAACCGCATGACTGACCTGGGGTACCGCGAGGCGGAGCGGGACAGGGAGCTGCGGCAGTACACCTACGACACTGCGTACCGCCTCAGCAGCGGCCTGACGGTGGGTCATGAATGGGCGATCCATGTGCAAAAGAAAGTAAACGGGGGTTCTCGATGGATATGTGAGAACGCACTTGTGCAGCGGAGATGCACGGTGAGCAAGGATTCAACCCACGTTTTCACCTCTGGCCGTACCCAGCTGGCGCCCACGTTGGCCGCTCACCTCTGCATCGTCTGGGGCGTGGCCCCTCGCCCCCCCCCCCCCACGGCAGGCCTGCATGCAGCTGGTGGTGTCGCGCGGCTTTGGCCTGGCGGTCCACCTCCACCTGGACGACGGCGACGAAACGGGGACGTGGCGCAACGCGCTCGATTTCGACCCCTACACCAAGTGCGGCCCCAGGCAGTGGCCGTGCACATCGCAGCGCTGGCAGCAGGCTGCTGATCACAACAGCAGGGGCCTTTCCACATCGGGGCCCGCATCACAGGGACCTTTGTTTATCGAGCTCAACATCCTACAAACGCAAATCCTGGCAGCCTTTCAGCCCCAACAGCACAAGCCTGCATCTCAGCAGCCCTTGTTTCCAGGCGGCTTCTGCAAAACCCCCAACCAGCCTTCTCGCGCCACACACCCGTGTTCCACGTGTGTTGCTTTGGGCACGCAGGTTTGGCGCGCTGTCATACTGGGACGCGCTGGTCAAGCCGGCGGCGGCGGCGGTCAAGGACGCAAACTTCAGAGGGGCGCCGGTGCTGTTTGCCATGCAGGCGGAGATGGGGGCGACGCTCTTCTACTCGTGAGGGCTGAGGGGCTGTGAGGGCTGCCCCCGAGGGGCGTGAGCAAGGAGCGCTAGGCAAGGCAGCTTATTTGCATGGGTACCCGGCTGCTTGCCGCACGGGTGGAATGTTGATGTGACAAAGGCCTGCAAGCCTAACTTCCAAGTCGTTTCCTTTGCAACAGACCTCACACTACCTCGCAGCACCTCCTCCTTCATACCCCCACTTACACACGCACGCACGCCACACACGCACCCACACACATGATCACACACACATGATCACACACACACACACACATTCCCCCTCTCCCTCTTTTTTCCTCGCAGTGCGCGCTCCTACCGTTCCATGATCAAGCAGATCAAGGGCGTCGTGTCAGAGGGCGGCACCCCGCCAAGCTCTGTGCGCGTCGGCGTAAACCTCAACTGGGAGAAGATCTGCGGCTGCCCCGGCAACGCCATGGCGTCGACCACGTGAGCTGCAGCAAAATTACTGCGTCATCTTGGGAGCAAATTTGTGATACGCAGCCTGACCTTGTGGCCGCCTGCAAATGACCATGAGCCGCTCTTTGCCAGCCAAAGCGCCTAAAATTCAAGCTGCTGGTCCGACGACGGCTGGAAAAGCCTCGTCTGGACGGCGGCATCTGCCGTGATTCGCAGCACCGGAGTTATACAACTCCCTCCAGCCCAACCCCCTCTGTGACCGTGCAAGGTCTGACACGCCCCGCCGCCCCGCTGATCCCCCACGGCCTCAGGTATTATTCTGACGTTCAGGCCAGGTGGCGCGAGGTGACGGACTCTGTCAGCCTGGCAGACGTGCGCGCCCTCTTCAGGGCGGTGGACTGGTGAGACGGGCAGGGGCTAGGGCAGGGTGGGCGGGGAAGGATGGGATGGCAATCATTGCTGGCATTGGACGACAGCAGAAGCGCCCCAGGAACACGTGGATGTGGTCCATCCCTGGCAGCTGCAGCCCGCGTCTACCCACCCTCAGCACAAGGGCGGGTTGGGGCGGTTGCTGCTCGCCATCGGGGTGTGGCCAGCCGCCGCTGGGCCTAGCCGCGGCGGCTCCGTCCTCTTCCATCACGGCCGAGCGCGCCGCACACTATGTCGCTCACGCCCCGGCGTCCTGCAAATAAAACGACCTCGTAAAACAGGATCGGCGTAAGCGCGTACGCGGGGCTGCCGGACAGCCCCGGCCCTGCTGACCTGGAGGAGAGCCTGCGGCGCGTCGACCGGGAGCTGCGGCTGTTTGGGCTGGACCTGCGGAGCCTCAATAAGGACCTCGTGTACTCGGGTGGGTGGTTGGCGAGCGGGTGGGGGAGGGAGACGACAAGGACGGCCTTGGATCCTTTTTTGAGGCTTGCGGGAGAGCCCACAATAGGATCGTGGGAAAGAGGTCAGCGGCGGAGGGAGGTGCGTTGTCAGCAGAGTGCCTCCCCCGTGCTGGCGGACGCTCTCCACGCATTTGTTCCAGTCATTTCGCCGCCACTACACCTTGTGATGCCGTGCTTTGAACCCTCGGCCCCCCACCTGGCGCTCACACTGCAGAGTACGGCGTCGGCGGCGGGGAGACCGCAGATTACAAGACCCCCGCCCGCGACTGGCCGCACGCGGCGGCAGCGCCCTACTGGGGGGTGGACGGGCGGTACGACCCGCGGTCAGACCCCTGGGCGCGGGGCGGCAACAGGGCGGCGCTGCGGCGGTTCTACAACACCACCCTCCAGTTTGCTGCGGCGGGGGGCGGCCCCAACTACAAGGTCAGGCGGCGCCGGCGCTGCCTCACTTGGGCGGCTCCCCTCCTCCCCCCTCGTAGCCAAACGTGTCTGCCATGTCAGGCGTGCAGGAATCAGACAGGCATACATACTCTGGCTTCAACCACCCCTTCCAGCCATCAGCCACCAACTGCCGGTTGTCAACCGCCACCAACCGCCTCTGGTGCACGCCTGTCCACCGCGCCGCAGGTCAGGGCGATTTTCCTTTGGAGCATCATCTCCTTTGACGTCACCGGGGTGCACTACCTGAGTTATGCCAGGGGCGGCACCGCGGGCGGCGCAGCAAACAGCAGGGCCGGCGGGGCGCCCGGCGGCGCCGCAGGGGGGAGTTACAGGGACCCCGTCATAACCGCGGCGATCCGGCAGTACAACTCCGCCGTCAAGCGGCTCAGGGCGGCTGGCGCGGCGCCTGCGGCCCCAACTGCGCCTGGCTCGCCCGCGCCAAACGCGACGCTGCCTCGCAACAGCACATCTACCAATGCAGGCGTTGCGCTGGTGCCTGCCTTTCGGGCGGCTGGCATGCCGGGGCTTGCTGCAACTGCAGCCGCTGACGCTGCTGCAGCGGTGTCTCCATTGTAGGCCAGGGCCGGGCTGTCGGGGCCGCGCAGGTTCCACAGTCAGCAAGTAGATGTGGAGGCTTTGTATGGCTGTGCAGGACTGTGTATGTAGGGTATTGATGCAGGCGTTTCTAGACCGCGTCATGTCATATGTGAACTGGGGCAGTTGCCACCCAAATATGGGCTGCTGGTCAGAGCTGATTGGTTGTTTTAGCATAGTCCTTTCGTTGTGTCCCTGTTTGTAGTTCGCCCCCGCTTGGAGGGCTGCGGGGGCAACGACCCCTAATTTGCAGCGCTAGACCCTTATTGACCCATCAGCGCAGATCTATGGTCAGCTTGTTTCCCCCACATGCTGCAATCTGTCCGCTTACGCACTTGCAAGAGCATATATTGGCGGCTCTGCTGTGCTGCTGGCTGGATTACAATTTCCGCCGTGCGCCCACCTCCCAAAACCAACGCTAGCACGCGAGCGCGGGAGCTCCCGCCCGGCGCTGAAATATTGCTGCCGGTGTGCATGCGCGTGTGCACCGCTGTGCGCTGCTTAACAGCGGCTCGGCTGCCCAGAATTGTGCTCGGCCCAACAAATGATCGGAAGGCGCCCTCTTGCAAGCGTTCAGTTTGCTTCAACCCATTGGCACACCCATCTCAGCCAGGAAGCTGGCTGCGTTTTTCCTGGTGCGGCTTCAGGGTGCAACTCACCAGTACCACACGAATTGTAATGTCGAAAAACGAGGCCTGTTGAACAGATGAACGAGCGTACTCGCCAAAGCGGATGCTACGCCAGGGGCGGCGGGGCGGGGCAGGCGGCCGGCTCGGGTGCTGCGCCGGCGAGGCGCGCCTTGTTGTAATGTCGAAAAACGAGGCCTGTTGGATGGTGCCGCCGTCTGCACACGTCACCGGGCGTCACCGGGGTCCAGCTGCTGGCCCAGTTTCTGGACCCAGATGTGCTTGATCAGGTAGCAATGTTCATTTACTTTCGAGCGCCGCAGCTTATCAGCCACGCGTCCAACACCCTTTGAAAGCCCAGCAGCAATGGCGCTCGCCCAGCGCGGCATGGCGGCTCGCCGCACTGCTGCTTCGGCCTGCACGGGGCCTATGGCCATGGCAAGGGCAACACCGATGTCAATCGGGCGTGTGCATCACATTGTCAACCGCGCCGCTGAGAGCTGCACCCGTGCGGCAAGGCCTGTCGATGCTGCCCGGGGACCTTTCTTCGCGCCGGCGAGGGCCGACCGCGTGGTCGTCCGTGCTGGAGAGCACCTCGTACCCAAGGACGACCGCATACCAGCGACGGTAAGGTCCATGAGCAGCGGGCGAGTGAGTGGGTGATTGGAGGCCCTCTCATTTCACCCTGGCACGTCCGCGGCCCTACAGGTCATCACGGGCTTCCTGGGATCCGGCAAGACCACTCTCCTCAACTATATACTGACGCAGCAGCACGGCAAGCGCATTGCGGGTGAGTGCAGCGCGTGCGCTGCGCCGCTGCACGGGCGTGCTCCATGCACTGCGCGGCCGCCACGCGCGTGGCTACCAGCCACGCCGCCCCCGCCCTTGCATGCAGCGACAACACACCCTCTGCTATGCCAACAACCGTCGCAGTGATTGAGAATGAGTTTGGGGAGATTGACATTGACAGCGAGCTGGTGGCGAGGACTGAGGTGCGCGGAGGAATGGGGGATCGAGAGGCTCACATACCCCATTGGCCAGGGCGAACGGCGGGCTAAAGTCAGTTCAGGCGGCAGTAGAAGCCGTGGCGGCAGCGGCGGTGGTGGCAGCGATGGGGGCAGTAGGGTGCACACTTTCGGACGATGCCAGTGGTGATGTCGGCGACTGCCGCCGCCCGCTTCGGCCGGCTGGCGGCGGCTTGGCGGCGGCGACGCATCCGAAGGCGCCTGAATGGAAGCTGCCAGGCGCAGGCGTGCAGACAGGATGCGGACGCGTAAACTCGAAAGCAGCGCGGCCACGCTTCGGCCGCATGCACACACGTGGAGCCCGTTCGGTGCTTCCAGGCCGCTGCTCACGCTTCGGTGGCCTACTCCTCCCCCTCCCCCAGGTGCTGGAGGGGGGCGACCAGATCACGGTGCTGTCCAACGGCTGCCTGTGCTGCACGGTGCGCGATGACCTGGTGGCGGCGCTCAACAACCTCTACAACCGCCGCAGCGAGTTTGACCACATCGTGATCGAGACCACGGGTGCGGCGCGCCCACGCTCCTGCCGTGCTGTCGTGCCGCCCTTGATGCCGCCTCACTGCTGGCGTGCTGCTGTATGGTTGCGGCAGACCTGCAAGTGTGGCTCCCACAGTACACTGTGGAACGCCGCGCACCGCACTGCGCTTTGAGGCCGCCACAGCACAGTCCAACACGCACGTTGACCCCCGACTGCTGTCCCACACCTCCTGTTTCCTCCCTGCACCCCTCATATCAGGCCTGGCCAACCCCGGCCCCATCATCAGCTCCTTTTACATGGACAAGTCCCTGCCTGACAAGTGGGTCTTGCGGTCCGCAGTTGCCTGTCAGTGGTTGGCGGTGGGCGGTCGGTTTTGGGGTCTTGGCATTTGGCCAGGCGCGGAGCCCTGCAAGAGCATGGGCTGGTGGGGGATGCGTACGACGGGGCGCCGCTGCGGCTGTGGCCGTGGTCGCGCTGGGCAGGCTGTATAGTTTGTGCTTTGCAGGCACCCCTCCTGGTGCAACCACGCGCTTTCGCACGCCTGCGTCGATGCACGTACTGACGAATAACGTACTGCGTGTCTCCCCACATACAGGGTGCTGCTGGATGGCGTGGTGACTGTGGTGGACGCCGTCAACATCAGCCGCCACCTGGACCAGGTGACGCGCAGGCCGTGCTAACTGGGCGCGGGTCGCGGGCCGGTGCCTCACGCTGCTTATGGTGGTGGTTGAACGCAGTGGGAAGGGCTGATCAGGGAGGGGTCGGAGGGGCTTGAGCGGGCGCACGAGGCTGGGTGCAGAAAGAACGGGCATTGGGTGGCGCAGGATAGGGGCAGCTTGATGGCACAGGGGGCGTCACCCTGCCGATGCGTGCGTCGCCTCCCTGATCTGCTGGCAATTGCTGAGTCGACGCACACACCAGCCAGCACGAGCACACGCACACACACGCGCGCACACACGCGCGTGCACGCACACACGCACCCACAACACACACTCACAAGCGCTCTGCTCACCATCCCACCCACCCCCAGGTCGGCAAGGCCAGCAACGAGGACGCCATTAACGAGGCCATAGAGCAGGTGGCCTACGCGGACCGCATCGTCATCAACAAGACAGACCTGGTGGGGGCGACAGCGCCGTCAGGCTTGGGTGGCTGGGGCAAGGGATGCAATGGGTGCATACGCGTCTTTAGGACTTTGTGTATCGCGCTCAGCGCAGAAAAGGCTCGCGGCCAGTCGCCTCCAAGCGCTTTTGCGTCCTCAGCATGACCGCGTCTGCCACGCTCTCGCGCGCGCCAGGTCAGCGAGTCGGCGGTTGCTGAGCTGGAGGGCCGCCTGCGGACCATCAACACCCTGGCGCGCATGACGCGCGCCACCAAGAGCAAGGTGCCCCTGGATTACGTTCTGGGGGTGGGCGGCTTTGACCTCGACAAGGTGGACGAGCAGGTGGGGGCGCGCGCCTATGTGCGCGTGTATGTGTGTGTGCGTGTGTATGTGTGTGAAGTGATTGTGTATAGTGTGGGTGCATGAGAAAGAATGTGTGTGTGTGTGAGAGTGACAGGGTGTGGCTGTTGTTCCTTTCCAGCATGCTGCATCCCTTCTTGAGGGGCGCGCGGGTCGACGCGTCGGGTGCCATGGTATTCGGGTACCAACAGCATTCAGGCGACGTGCACGGATGGGGGCAGGGGGAGCGAGGAGTGTTGTGCGGGCGGATTTGCTGGCGCTCCAATGAGTAAGAGTTGCGCTCTCTCTTGTTGATCCAGCCCTGACATTGTTGGTGCTGTCTTTCGGACTGTTTCTAATCAGGGGAGCAGGACGCCGTGCGTGCCCCGGCTTTCCGCACTTGGCAAACAACGTTCAGGCCGCCTGACCAGCGCCCTTTCGTCGGCACCCGTTCAACAGCCCCTCACTCACCCCCCCTGCGTACTCGTTCCCATCCCTGGCATGGCTCCCTTTACTTTTCAGCTCGCGCCCAAGCCCAGCAGCAGCCACAGCCACAGCCACGACCACGCACACGGCGAGGAGTGCGGCGCGGGCTGCACCAACCCCAACCACAACCACTCGCACGACCACGGCCACTCCCACGCCGAGGCTCACAGCCACGCGCATGGCGAGGAGTGCGGCGCAGGGTGCACCAACCCCGAGCACAACCATTCGCACGACCACGGGCACTCCCACGCCGAGGCGGCGCACAGCCACGACCACGGCCACAGCCACGACCATGTGCACGGGGAGGATTGCGCCCCGGGCTGCACCAACCCGGACCACGACCACAGCCACCACAGCCACGCCAAGCTCCACGATGACAAGGTGCGGCTGGGCGCTGTCACAGGCGCCTTCATAGGGCGCGGTTGTGCACCTGCGCTCTTCCTGCACGCACGCACGTGCTCCCGGCCTCAGTTTCGTGAGCCTTGCCCACACGAGCGCAGGGCCGGCAGGTCCGCTGCAGCTGCGGTGTTTGTGTGGGTCTCATCTTGGGTCTTTGTGGCTGCAGAGCGTTGATGCCCTCATACAGCATCCCCGGCTTATAGCACGCCCTGTCATCCTTGCTCATGTTGCAACCGTTCTCTCTAACATACACACTGACACTCAACACACACACACTCATGAAACACACAACATACACAACCAGCAATACGCACACACCCCACACACAAACACACCCAGGTGTCGAGCCTGTCATTCTCTGTGGAGGGGGAGATGGACCTCGACAAGGTTGGGGTGGGGGGGTGTCGGGGGGTTGGGGAGGGGGTCATGCATGCTGGGCTATGGGGTAGCAGTGACATATCGCGCAGGAGTGATGTTGATGGCTCCTTGTGGGTGTCACGCGGTGGTGCACTCGGATAAGAGACGGGGCGCCACACGAGGGCAGCATCACCACCTGGACTCCAAGGAGTGACCAGCGTTCAAATGCATCGCATACCTCCTCACCTATGCTTTCTTTCACGTTGTATCCGTACCCACCTCGCTC